CGAATCGGGCAAGAACACGCGGCAATACGAAACAGGTTATGCGGGTTATACTCCATCCCCCCCCCCCCACAAACACACGGTTTTGAGGGAGTTCGAATTGTGAGGAAGTAAATATTGATCAGTTCCCCACAAATAACAGGCAGAAATACTCTGCATAAATCGTCGTGCAATCTGGTTCAATGATTGTTGTTGATCACTGTGTCTTCATGGTTATACATGAGCCCCATTCAGATTGTAGATGTGATGGTCAAAAGAACTGCAGGAAATTTATGCATCATCGTGGGGAAAAATTTACATTTCCTCGGGGTTCATCACAAAGCCTACCATAAATCAAGTCGTGGTGTCAAATACGATGTGGACCACTAAAAAAATAGGCACCTTTTTTCATTCAGTTGGACCTGATCAATTTGTTGCTGCTATTATGAAAGTTGACCAGATTTGACATGTGGGTGAATCAAGCGAAGAGGAAGCACAGTATGTCCGTGGTTCCCTGGGGTGAAGTTGAGTGTGTGCAAAAACGAAACCATGCGCGTCCGATTTATGACTACTGCACTACAAAGTTTTCCTAGATCTTTTGTTTCATTCTCTTTTCCGCGTTCATTCGTAGAGCAATGAATGTTTGACCAGAAAAATTTCTCAAATTCTACTTAAAGCCAAAAGAATTCGATCTTGCGATTAGTGAAATGTTTTCTGTGTATTTGATCATAAAATCGTTTAGGTAAACTTTAAAAAAAGCTCTTAGCACTGCACTTGCAAGACCAGTAGACCCATTTCGAGGTGAATGAAAAAATGGAACAATTTTATTCACTGTGAAATTTGCCTGAGGGGTACTGACCGACAATGCTAATCTAGCATAGACAATTATCGAGTGGTTCAGCCAAAATTACGAGGTGTGTCAATTTCAAAACCCAGTGAGCTTACATCACGAGATGTTTGAAACGTTCAGCTCATCGCCTTATCCTGTTATGAGGATTTTGAGTACATTACAATAGTTGAAACTTATTTGTCCTGCCCGATCTTGAACAGTGCCGATAACACCGTGTCTAGCTTTCATGATGATGCCTGATACATTTTCGCCTCCAGCTGACAGCTCACGATCCGGACAAGTCGGCCAATCTAACATATTCCATCAAGCCCTTGGAAAAAGGTGTACTGGCAAGTTCCACCTTTCATGTGACGCCGGACGGTCGGGTGCAACTTAGTGGCCCACTGGACTACGAAGGCCAACGCAATTATGAGCTACCTGTGCAAGTTAAAGACGGCGAATTCAACGCGTATACCACGCTATTTGTTTCCGTGCTGGACACAAACGACGAACCGCCTCGCTTTGAGATTAATCCAAAACAAATTGTGGCCAGCGAGCATGCAGTTCCCGGAAAGTTGATTGGTCAGGTGAGTGAGTGAGTGTACTTTTTTGTTTTTCCTTAAGATTACCCTCATGTATAGTGCGTATTGCAGTCTCTGTTCTACTCATTCCAATACCCCAAACAGGTGAGAATATACGATCCGGATGGGGAGGAGATCAACGGACATGTTAGGTGTTTTGAACCCCCTGGGCTGGAACGCAATCAACCACTGGCATTCTTACCGGACCCCCGACAAAATCCGTTTGCGTTGGTGTATGATCTAACAACGCGTGTGTTTCTGGATCGTGAGTCCGAGGATCAGGCAAACGGGGGACAGATGCGGGTCTATCTTGTATGTACAGATGGAAGCGATTCACGACAGCATGGAGTGCAATACAATGAGAAGCACACCTCGACTATGACCATCGTATTGACTGTAAAAGATGAGAACGATCATCCGCCAGTGTTCGATCAGCCAATTTATCATGTTGCTGTTTATGAGAACAATGCGATTGGAGAAAAATTGATACAGGTACACGATTTCCTTGAAGTTCATTTATTATACTACATGGAATTTTCACCAGAAGTTTTTTATTCAAAGATAGTTTGATTGTCAGCGTAGGTGAAGCGACCTGAAAGACGTTTCATCCGAAATCAATTGTCCGTCATTTCGTTCCCACTCAGTTGGTGTACTCAATTAGTAATGTGCCACTACTGAGACATAAACGAACACAACAATATAAGCTATCGTGCATCTAAGATTTGGCTTATTCAAACAAATTTGTCAAATTAGGATGTAGAGGAGAAGTGAGTGAGATGGAATTCCCTGACAAGCGTGCAAGTTCGTGTGTGGACAAAACAAGACAATCAGAGGGGCAACTCACTGGCGAAGTTACTAATGTGTGCTATCCTAAGTCTGATTCTCGTTTGGGTTGAAGGATTAACAGGATGAACGAAAAACCCACAGAGATATTCCCAAATTTTCGCTCAATCTGTGCTTTGATTCATGTACACGACACAGATCACTGTGAAATCGACTGAAATTTCCCACTACTCTCTGATAAGAAGCTTAAATAGTTGCTGAAACTCTGGGAATGAGTCAAACAAATTCAGAGCTGTATGTGCTTGCTGTCCTTAATTTTATAACTGAGAGCAAATTTCATTCTTTGATTGGGCTAGTTTAACGCCTACGTATCTCAGCTGGATTTATAACCAATAAAATTGAATGTAGCATTTCGGCTTTTTTAAATCACCTAACTTCAGTATAAAAGTAATTATCACCATACACATTTTGTTCTCTTGCTGAATGGGCAATAAATATCAGTAGAATTACTTATTAAGTAATTAATAAAAGACTTCCCCAGACACAGTGGGTTTTATCATGCAATTAGTATTCTTGTCACGTGACGTTTGGAAATACAAATGGAATGTGACGATTGTTTATCTAGATTTGTTGTCATTAGGAAGCTCAAAGCGTCCAACAGACGGCACCCTTTTGTGCAAGATGGGAAGGTTAATTGCACAGAAGGTTCACACATTTCGGGCGGACGAGATGAAGTATCCACTTCACTTCACTTCACTCCACTTACTCTCACACTGTCTGTTCCAAACACGAACCAATGCCTACACCTCGATTGGAAATATATCTCACTTTGTACTGACAAATGAGTTGCGATTTGAAACAGTTGTGACCGGCTGTTGCTGACATTCAACAGAAAAGTTACTTTTTGCGTCAATTATGTATTTTGTGCACAGTCAATTAGATGACATTTATCCGAAAGCCGACAAAGTTGTCAGCGGGGACAAAGAGAGCGTGAAGCAATCACAAAAGGAGCGTAGGTGTGTGCGTGTGTGTGCTTCCCTGTCGACCAGTGAAGTCCCATGGGAATTAAAATCCCTATTGTCTTTACATGATTTTCTCTAAGAATGTCTAACTAACGAACTGAATGTCTTAAATGATATCTGAGGATGAATTGTTTGTTCCCCGTTCTCGTCTTCTCCATGTAGTGAATTTTCCTTGTTACGTATTCCAGTTGTTTAAAATGTTTCAAGTACTTGTTTATTCTTGATTTCTTAAAATGAACGTCAAAGTGATATTTGAAGTTATCTAATAAAACTGACATTATACAAATAGTGGCTCACTATTGCACCCGTAAAGCAGTCAGTAGTTCCAAAAGATATTACAGATATTGAAGTAGAAGCATGTAATCATATTCACAATTCGAGCAGATACTGTAATTGTACCACATGCTCATATTAACATATCTGTATAGAACTTTTTCAATTGAACACGATGAAAAATAAGCTAAAGCATTTTTCAGTAAATATCTGTATGGTTCATTCCACACTTGCGATTGCATCATTAACCACGATACACATAAGTTATATACAGCTTTCTCATAACTCGTTAGCTTAGGAGGCCTTCCAATAGGATCAGAGATTCGCTGCTGGAAGGCAGACAGTTTTTGTTTTCCGCAAAGTGGTGCCTAATCTATGCATTCTTAGGCGTTTCTGGCCTTAATGGAAATTTCCGTTGAAAACGCATCGGTCAACAAGAACCATACGAGTTTCTTTTCAATGAATGGTGGTGCACATGGCTGGGTAAAACTCACGCTGATTACAGATAGCCTTTAAATTAACAAAAACCAAACCGTTTCATGCAATTTGGTAAGCCTCCAAAACCCAAAAGTTAAACAAAACGTGATTTGTGGAATTATTTATTAAAGTATCTGTTCGAGTATAAAAAGCACCTTCGAGTGACATCGAAAATATGTCAACATTCGTATTCAACTCACAGTAACTTGTGCGAAATGGTTTCGGAAGAATTATACTGATACAAAGTCAAAGTCAAAGTCAAAGTTTTATTATGGGTGTTTTAACAAAGCTAAAGCTTATCATGCCCCATAGGATTTTTACAGAACGTTTTGAATAACTTCAAAAAGAGAAAATAACAATGATAATAATATGCATGATCATTCACGGATGTTGAAATTTTAAGTGTTCCAATGCTTTATCAAGTTGCGATTTAAATAGTTCAACTTTAAGAGCACACACTACATCAGATGGGAGAGAATTTCATGCGCTGCACATTCTGACTGCAAGCGAGTGATACCGGCAATCAAGGTGGCTGTTCTGGGTCTTTACCTTTAGTGGATGTCCCCTGAGGTGATCATTATGAGATAAAGTCAGCAGAGAACGGCAAGGGTGGTTGGGTTGATGCAGTATGTGATATGTCAATATTAGGTCCCCTCGAAGTCGGCGGTATTGGGATGAGTAGAGTCCTAATGTTTGCAGTCTTTCAGAGTAGGTCTTGTTATATAGAGCTTTTA